AACTCGTACCAAATCGGAAAGCGCATTCAGAAGATCTTGAATAGTGCCTTCGGGAGAGTACTGGACAGTTACCTGGAACGAACCTATCAGAGACTAGTAACTTCCGCAATGAACCAAAAGGAACAAGTAGGACAGAAATCGGAACTGAGCACAGAAAAAAATCACCTCAACAGGCTTCAGCAAAGGATCGAGTGGCCAGAACCACAGCGTTGATGCCTTCTTCACCTTTGGAAAAGGTACAGGGAGGTATACGAACGGGTCGAATGTTAATGGACACCTGCAATAGCTCTCATTTCGTTACAGGAAGAAAGAAGAACGAAAGTCTCGTTCGCTACAGTTGCTGAGGCGTGTCAGGATGTTGGGTTTCGCGCGGCGCCAGCACCGCCGCCGTTTTCCGCCAATCGTGGAAGAGCGCGAGTGACAACAATTGGTGTAAACAAGCCGGCGCTGAGCCAAACTCAGCGCCACTGACACGCTCTAGGATCCGCAGCGAACAAGACCGTAAAGATGCTTTGAAATTGCACTTACCCGATCACACTTTGGACACTGTAGCCGCGACTTCAACTGCCCATGGAACAGGTCCACAAATATGGAGTCATTCCTGAGCGTGTGATTGAACCAGGCTTCAGTTGACACCTGAAATACGAGAACACGCTATGATAGGAAAAGAAATCGCAGCAGAAATATGAAAATGCACATTTCTCTGCAGCGTGTCAAAAGCAGAAACCGGGTCTCCTATTTGGCGTAATTTCCACTGAGGAACTGTCTTCAGAAGGAAACTACATAAATACTCATGAAGGAAGAGAACCATCTCAAGGCCAGATTCGAAGAGGTGAGCTTCATCAGCACACTAGTTCAGTTGCTGTCTGTAGGTAGGCATCACATACCCCCCTCCCACCCCCCCCCTCCCCTCTAGCACACACATGTGGCGTGCCTTGCGCACTGCTCACCTCCGGCTGCCACACGTAGAATGGTTGGGTGGAGTGGTTGGCACCTTTTGGGTGGGTACCACATGGATTGGCTAGCAAATCTGCTAGTGATCGACCCTCCTCCCTTCCTCCTCTCTATCCATATTTCCTTTTACTGCGCACACTCAGCTCTGAAGTGAACGTATTCTGATGAATGAGAATAGGTTGATTGTAATCACACCATTTATAACGTCTAAATGGTGTGATCAGAATCGGACCATCATTTGAAATTGGTAGTGCAAGACTAGACCAAGACTTCCGCACCTAACGCGAGATGAAGTGGTATAAAAAGTTTAGTTAAAGACACATCGCACGCCTCAACTACAAGGCGCGTCCTCGGGGCTAACGAGCCATCATCAGCTGTCTAAGCGTAGCTGTTTCCCGTCCGAACATGCGCAGGGATGGGGATCCAGGACGTGGGACACACTAATCCTCTCTAAAATGCAACTTCCGGCGCAGACTCCCATCACGTTATGCTGACAGTCGCGCGCAGCGCTCCTCGGCACTTTGCCCAAGTCGTGTAATTGCGCTTTGGAATACAACTTAAAACGCAAACTCCTGATGCGGATGAACATTTGAGGTATTGCGTGGGACGCTTAGGCATTCTTTATTTTCATGTTTTGTGGGAATGCGCGGCCTCCGAGGGAGATTGCAGAAGCAGCACAGTTGCTCTTGAGTTCTGGCCCTCGTCATCATCTTCGATTCGGATTTTGCAGCATGAGCAACACCTCAAATGTTATCCGCATCAGGAGTTTGCGTTTTAATTGTATTCCAAAGCGCAATTACACGACTTGGCAAAGTGCCAGGAGCGCCGCGCGGACGGCTGTCAGTATAAACGGGATCGGGAGTCTGCGCCGCAAGTTGCATTTTAGGCGGAGTATGGAGGAATTAGCGTGTTCCACGGTCCTGGATCCCCATTCCTGCGCATGTTCGGACGGGGAAACCGCTACGCTTCGACAGCTAACGGCGGGGACGCGCCTTGTAGTTGAGTGTACGTTGTATCTTTAGAGCTTCTGCCTTTTCTGAACTAAATTATGTCACCAATCCTCTGAGACTTTTGTAGGTAGCATTATCTTTTTCGATCTTCTGTGCTCTATATTATGCACTCTACACAGGGTGCGTCGTACGTTGGAGAAGCCCCAGGGGAGGGTCGCACTTCGACATTAGAGAGTAGAGGGCTTCCTTGGCAATTTGGCTTAGAAATGTTTCACGAAATTTTGATTTTCCCCATTTCATATTTTTCTTTTCACCCCCCCCCCCACTCAAAGTTTCAAGAAAATTTAGTAGGAGCGTAGGTAGGCTGTGTGAGGCGGTTGTAGTGGAGGAAGAAAATTGGAAGGGACTCATCTTGCGGACCTTCCCCAACCCATGTATGTTAACATATAGGGAGGGATTAACTGAAAATAATCATGTTGGCGAAGATAAAAATTACTGACTCCCGCATTATTTGTTCTCCTTAATTGTATGTGAATTCGAGACATTTCTGGAATCTAAATCAGGATCGCGACGGTCTGCATTCTCGAGAAATTAACTGTTTTTATTCCGCGGCGTTGCCAAGCAACACGGTTATTCATTATTTATTCGCATTCACAATTAGACCTCAAAGCTCGCTCCAACTTCTGGTCGTTTCGACGACTCGTTTTTTGTTGGTCCCGAGCCAGAAAAGGCGACAAGCAACTTCCCCAACTAAAAAAAACGCAAAACAGAGTTGGAGAGTAACATTCGCCGGCGTCCTAAGAGCAAAGTAGGGCCCTATCCGCGGTTAGAATTGCCATCCAGATAGCAGGAAACCCTTGAAATCCTGTAAGCCCATTGCGATAAATCTGGAAACTCGTTAGTAAATCATGCCTAATCGGTGTCCATTTAGTGAAAGATGAGAAATTAGTAAACGAGCATGAACCTACACAAATCATTAATAATTTCCCACGTCGGAAGTTTCGGCTTTTGGTTGGGGGGTTTTTGGAAGTGATACATAGCTAACCAAGGGAAGGCCCAACACAGGTTCGCCATGGCCATTCAAGAATTGAAGCGAATGCATATCGGATCGTGTTGCGTCTCGGGGACCGCTTGAACTCAATCTGCTTCCAAAAGAATATTGCCGAACGGATTCCTTTTATGGAGAGTTGGGGGAGGGTGGTTCTAGCACAGTACTCGGCGATCCTCCTTTGCGTAGCTCAAGTTAAGTTCGAGTACAAACAGGAACAAGCGGTCGATGGTGTAAGTGTAATTTGGTAAAAAATTGCTTTCATAGATTGGGAAAGGTCCACGGGTTCCGCGATTCTTTGGTCCAAGATCCGTAATTTTGTTCATTTTTTCGGAACCAATCTCCCGGACTTGAAGAAACTTTTTATAAATTATTTTTGGTCACGCCCATTGCCTCCTTACTTGTACTTGCAGCAGGAAAATACTCCAAAGTGCCGGCAATTGTGCCATCCTCTCTGAAGTACCTTTCCGGGTAGTGTTTACCGTTTACTTGCCCCAAATCAAAACAAAATAAGTGTCAGTTTGTTTGACCTACTTTGGTTTCTCCCGTGAGCAGTAAAATTGTCCTGGACGAACTTTGGTTCTACTAGGGTAGTCTGGAACCCATTCTTTTGAGCAATTTGAATATCACATTGCCGCTCGGCAAAACGAAAAAACCTCCTAGCGCCCGCGCCACAGGCGCGCCAGCGCCAAAATACTCTAATTCACCAAGTTTGCTGAAAACTTGTCAACTGGGGTAGTTTGACCCCTAAACACGAATATCACATCCGTACAGTCTGAAACTGCCCAAGCATACGCCACAAGCGACCCATCACATGCTTGTTCCGACTCCGGCGCGTGTAGCACAGACTGCAGTCGCTTTCATGCGGGCTATGTGCTAGGGCAGTTGGGCAAACCGGCCGAAGTAACGCAGCACTCTTCCCGGTTGCCTGTCATAGAAATCCTTCCCTCCCCATCTCAGGGGAGGGATGCAGACGCAGGTTGCCAATCACATTTCCCCTTTTCTCTATCCTTAACATTCTCAACGCCCCATACAGATGTGATGTTCGTGTTTAGGAGGTCAAACTGATCCAGTTGAAAAGTTTAGCGATTTTGGTGATTACGAGTATTTTGGCGCCGGCGCCAGGCGTTTCGGGTTGAGCTAATGGGATATTTGTGTCCAGGAGGTCAAACTACCCCAGTTGACAAGTTTTCAGCGAACTTGGTGATTTAGGGTATTTTGGCGCTGGCGCCTGTGGCACGGGCGCTAGGAGGTTTCGTGCCGAGCGGATGTGATATTCATGCTCAGAAGGTCAGACTACCCTAGTAGACAACTTTTTAGCCAATTCTGCTCACGGAGAACAAAGTCGGTCAAAAACTGGCCTGATTTCGTTGATTTGGGCAGTAAAGGGTAAACACTGCCTAAAAGTCTTGAAAGCGAAGCACAATTGCCGGCACTTGAGTCTTTTCCTGCTGCAAGTAAGAGCAAGCTTGACAAAATAATGGATAAAAGTATTTTCTGAACTCGCAGAAGATGTTCCGAAAAAATGGCAAAAATACGAATCCTGTCAAGGAATCGAACCCATGACCTCCCATCTATGAAGCAACTTACCTATCCACTACACCATCGACCACTTGAGACTGTTTGTACTCGAACTTAACTTGAGCTACGCAAAGGAGGATCGGCGAGTGCTATGCTAAAACCACCCCCCCCCCAGCTCCTCATAGAGAATCGTTGTTCGGCAAACTTTGAAGCAGATCGTGAGGTTCAGCGTCCGAGACCACACGTCGATATGCATCTGATCTTGATGACCATAGCGACCTGTTGACCTTCCCTGGTAAGTCTACCCATGCTACCTCGTGAAAACCTGTACATTCCTGTGACCAAAGAGGGTCACTAGCACCGTTCTGCAGCTTCCAAGGAAGTTACAGGGTTCATCAAAATGATACCCGTTATAAGCATGGACTAACAAAAGCAACTAGGAAGAGTGTAAAATGCCCCCCCCCCCTCTCAGCCAGATAGGCGCCAAACTTTATAAATAATAATAATCTATATAATAGCAGTCTTTTCATGTGACTTACATCAATATCGGATCGTCCATCTCCTTCAACCGTTGCAGTTACAGGCTTTGACTTCACCCTGTTGAGGTCTTCATGAAGGCCATCCAGCAAAAATGAAAGGAACTCATGCGCATCATGCTGGGCAAAGTTGGCAAACTGTGACGCTTTCTCGGCTACCAACTCCTGTAACAGCAAAACCACTTAGATTCGACAATCACTTCTTTCTTTCGTAGTCCTGATCCCCAAACGATAGATCGTGTGAATGGGCGTGAGTTGGAGTGCAGCCAGAAAAGCCTTTCCGCCAATTGTTGCGGGTTCAAGATGACATGATTGGTGGAAGGCTTTTCTGGTAGAGCCCCACTCCACGCTCTGTCGCACGCTTTATCGTTTGCAGGGATCATAAATGTAAATATATTGAGGGTGAATAACTAAATGAAAAGTACCTTAATTTTAGCCGGTTCAATGGCACGGTGCTGACAATTCCACATAAG